GATATAGATATAGATATAGATATAGATATAGATATAGATATAGATATAGATATAGATCCCCATATCTGACTGCTGAGCAGGAGGCATCCATATTTTCCCTCAAAACCTCTGTTAATGCTTTTCATATCATAAATCTACATTTTGTTGACAGGCATCAAAGTTGTCCCTTTAGAAGTTCAGTTTTGTAATGCAAAGGCCAGGGATGCTACCATTCTTCAGGATTTGTAATTAACAGTCCTCCCACTATGACCACAGTGTTTCAATTATTTTCAGTGAGGCTGATTTTTTTTTTCCCACTGAAATTTGCTTTATCTGAAATATGTATAGGAACAGTAGAAAAAAATGGTGGGCCTTTTAGGTTTTCTGCCCAGACACAACAAAGTTTTGAGCCTGCCCTGCCCATCAGCAATTGCTCCTTACTCCTTCCTTCCTTTTCTCAGCTGATAGGAAAAGGCCACAGCTTTAAAGTCCTTATCTCCCTTGGGCAGAACACAGAAATACCTTGGTTTCCTCTAAAGCATGTTGAAGGCTTTGAGTTAATCTGTTAGGGAAGGCACATCAGTGTTGGAGCTGAAGTAAGCACGGGACTGAGGCCAAGGCTAAATGGATTGGGCCACCACTCCCTCTCCTAACTGTTTACAGGGTATTCTTGAAATGAGGAGGGGTGGAGACCATCTACAATTAGGCCATCCTGACTTTATATAACCTTATGTAATTCACTCACTTCATAAATCTGCTCTCCCATCATCGATTCAAGCCAAGAGCACATAGTTGCTTTTAATAAATAATTTAATCAGAGAAATACAGTGAACCAAGGTAGAGAAGCTTTCCAGTGTTGTCAAAAGCAGCCCGTGGCCATGGGTCACGGCTGAATACAGATCAATCATCAAAAAGAGAAGCCTCTCCTGTCACAGTCATTTCCTGGGGACAAAGCTGATGAAAGAACCTGGTCTTTGGGGCTATAGAGACTATAAGATGGCTCAAGACAGCCACACTTGCAGCTAGAAACTTACATAACTGAATATTCCTACAAACAATCAAATCAAAGATCATTTTATCTTGTGAACTCCATATGCACTCTAGAATGTCCAGGGACAGGTTTACCATTTCATGAGAACCAAGTTTTGTTAAGAGCTGAACATGAGAGATACAGGAATATGAGATTCAAGCTGACTTCTAAAATTGGGTTGCAGGTTGGAGAGTTTCTCTGGTACAAAGTGAGAAAACTTTCTCCAAAAATAAATTCAATATTTTTAAGCTATGAGATTCTGCAAACACCAGGAATTCTCAGCTCTGGCCTGTTGAAGGAGCAAAAAAATCCAGAGTCATATAGCTTTCATTGCAAACATAAAACACTTAATATAGAACAATCAGACAGAACTGTCTACTGATACTGCTGCATGAGTTTGGGCACATAAACTGATTCAGAATTGATTCTTTTGTGGATGTCTGTAAAGAATCTTGAGGTTTGTAAGGGAACTGTAGGTTTTCTAGTAAAGAGTTCTAACTTCTTTAAAGAATCTCAAATCTTAGAATCTTTCCTTGTAAATAAAGGGCATGGCGGGAGGGGGGGAGATAAGAATTCCATAATAGAGGTCACTTAATGCTCTAGCAGCTCCCCAGTTCCGTCAGCAACCTCTGCATTTCTAGAAAATTCCCCAGGAGAATAATAGTTGAGGCTGCGTCCACATTATTCTTTAACAAAATGAACAGACAATCAAACAATGATATCAAACAATGAGCTATATTTAGAGCAAAAGCAAATTATTAGCCTGAATGTTTTTAAAAAGCTTTTATGAACACACCCAACTTGTTATGCTTACAATATGAATTTAAGATGATCCAGCATCCTCCAATTTTTAAGTAAAGGGTTTATGGGGACGTTGGTGGTCAAAAGATAAGTCTTTAACCACAAATTGTTACCTGATGCCCACCTGATTCTATGTGCAGGGTAATGCCAGATATCTAATTCCTATTCCTTGGTGATGGAGAGAATCCAGATTGCATGGCCAATCTTTGCATAAATTAAATATTTAATACACACCAGCTTCAATTACAGGATAACCCATGGGGTTGGATTGTGCCTCCATCCACATCCAAGTCATAAAAGCACTGAGACAGAGATGAAAACTCCAAGTCTCAGGTAGGCTTAAGAGGCACCAGAAGTTCCTTGCACTGTTCACAAGACAAGCTGCCCGTTCAAGCTTCCCTCGCAAGCATCTTGCCTTCTGCTACTGCCGAACAGGTCTCTGCCTCAGCACCCTAAGGGAGAGAGTCTCTGTCCACAAGAGCAGTTCATTGATCCGGGCTAGGCCCAGCCCAGCAACCTTGGCACCATTTACTTCAAGTATCTCATCCCCGACTTCTAGGAGTCCAGCATAGAGTTTAGCTGTACTGGTGTCTGCCATCTCCTGAACATAGATACCTGTTAAGAAAAAAAGAACACAAAATTACATTCAGTGTGTTAGTAAGATAACCATTTCTTGAAATGTTACAACTACGGAGTAGGGAAAATGTTCCTTCCTCAAAATCAGAAAAATGCTTGGGGGGAAACTGAAAGACATGTAACACTTCTTCACTGAACCTAAGCTTATTATATCTTCATTCATCATTTAGAACTTGTTATACAAAGTCACAGGTTTCCCTGCTTTATGTGAATTTGCTATTATGCAGTTGAGCATTTTCATCCAAGAAGTCGCTTGATGCAAAAACAAAAATGCTATAATGTGATTTGCGCCAGCATAATCAATTTGCACTAAAAATCTGGAAACATGCCAAAACTTCTTCCCGCCAAAACCACTTGAACATTTTCCTGCCCAAATCCTTTCTGCCTTCATGCATTTACCATTGTGTTGTGCAATTGTCCTAGCTGTGTGTTCTGTCTCCCACTTACTTCTGAACTTGCAATAGCTATGACTATTACTATTTCTACTGCCATGATGCATTTTACCACATGGATTAGAAATCCAACTGTAGAAAAGATAAAGAAAATTTTTTCACTGTACATTAGAAAACATGTTTGAGTAATGCTCAGTGCTTAAGTACTGCTTAAGAAGAAGCCTCTAAAAACTTATAAGTACATTTGAGTTACAAAATTTTAATACCATATCCTGCAAAACACCATTTTTATCCACTGGTTCAGTGTCTCACTTTATGTGAATTCCCTTTATGCGAGGTTTTCAGGGAATATAACTCCAGTTTAAAGTGAGGAGAACCTGAATATTATGCCCTTTCTGACTAAATGATAGTCAGAAGAATTTACCTTACTTCTGACCAAATGAATATGTTTTGCCCTGCTGTTGCCACATTAAATCTGTTTTTGAAAGGCAACATTTCAAATCCCATCCAGGCTAAAATTTCAAGTAATACACACTAATGCTATGGCTTCTACATTATAAATGTCAGCTAAAACTGGGGCTATTTATGTATATTTAATCTGGAAAATTGTATACATGTCTACATCTTTACACAGAAATGTTATTCATTTTTATCTCAAGCTGCCCAGCCTTCAGTTTGGATTTATATTCCTACCAGTCTGGAGGTTCCTATTATACAAGATGGGAGGCTATACAAATCTTTTAAATAAATAAAAAAGTAGAAATAAATACTTCTGGAATTATGAGCCCTTTCTAATAATGCAGGATTTTCTACTATAATTTAAAGCAGGAATACATAAAAGTTTATAACCCTAGACCCCAAAGTATGGCAGAATATAAAGGAGTTAATGTTTTGCTCTCTTAACATGGAAATTGCCAAATACCTTCATAGGCTCAGCTATTAAAACCAGCTCCACATTTGTCAGGGCCCCAACACACAACTTATGTTTTTGTTTGTGCTGAAAGCTATTTTATAGCCGGTTACAGGCAAATTGTAAATGAGGTCTCAAGTGTGCTAGCCCAAGCAAAAAGAAAAAAAATCTGGTAAGAAAAGCAGCACAATAAATAAGAAAAAATAGTCTAAATCCATTTGTTGAATTTATATCTAGCAACTTCAAGGCTTCCTGGGAAGGGAGAGCTCAGAACAAGAAAATGTTCAATTGGACTATGCCCCAATTCATTTTAAATATTTTTAGGGTGGAGGTGGAATCTAAGAAATGTAATGGAAAGAGTACATTCCTGGAACCAGAGTGCTTAACGCCAGGACAAACATTTGTCATCTCCGTCACAAATATTGCAACATTCCCAGGAGCTTGCCTGGGAAAAAAGAACCTGAGGACACATGTTTCAAATTATTCCAGCCATCTGACCTACTTTAGACCGTCCTCTTCTTAAAAAACACACAAAACACAAAAACACCAGTGAGATTCTAGCATAACAAAATATTTGGTTGTGTTTGAAAACAGAAAACAGCTTTTCTGTTAGTGCTGTAGAGCAGCATATCAAAGTAGGATTGTCGCCTAATAAGGAGCATCTAGGTGGCTGGATATTTCAAATGTATTTCTTCAGAAACAAAGGACAATGTTCAGGGAAATGGTATCAGTGGATGAAGCAATAACACACACGCACCAAACTGTAGAACCGATACAGGCCACCCTGGTTTTGAACCGCATGGCTGCTTTTAACTTCCATTTGTGTGGCATCCCTATTTTTTGGCATGGCTGCACAGTTACACAGCTACACATGTCGTTTGTCAATTTCAACATAATACCAAATCATAATTAGAAAGGATTGCAGGGGGTCATGCTGCCATGTCAGTGCAGGCGGTGCCACTTAAAAAAGTTATCTGTTCTTTGAGGGTATGCTTTTTGGGGTTCCGGAATTTTTAAAAAATGAAATAGGTTTGCTGAATCTTGTGGAAGCCTGGCACATCTATTTTGCTTGAAAGGGCAACATCACCGTGCTTTGCTGCTATAACTCAGAGAAGTGATCTAGGGACAATCTTGGCACCACAAAAATGGTGCTTGGGTGCATATATCCTGTGGCTAGTTTGTAGCTAGGAAGTTACCATCCTTGGCTTTGAGGGCAAAGCATTTGTAAAAGAAGTAATGTCATTATAATTGGCATAAGACCTAGACTCAGAAGTCCATGTGCAAAAAAAGAAAGAAAGAAAAGAAAAGAAAAGAAAAGAAAAGAAAAGAAAAGAAAAGAAAACTTCCAGGTCCAGAAGAATGTTTTAAGCCTAAATTAACTTAGAGTGTACAAGTCAATGAAGAGGCTAGGTTGAAACTGGTTGTTTAAGAATGCCTCTGAGAAATGTCCCTTCTTGTTTTTCTACTCTGTAATATAACAATGAAGGAGGCAGTGCAGAAAGAAAGAAAACCTATCTTTCTCACCAAAGGAAGAACATCTCTTTGCCGCTCAGAATACTGAGCAAATCTCCCTCTGGAAGATTTTATAGGGTGCAGGGTTATATATAGGATCTGCTTTAGCAAAAGAGTTTCCAGAGGCTATTGACTACAGTAGCTTGGGTTCCTTGTAGACTGGTTCTTTGGCTTGTACTTGCAATGGTACATAGAAGATGAATATCTATTTCAAAGTCCTATATTCAGGAAGTGGTAAACACTTGGATTCCAACAAAGAGAAATAGGCGATTCTTATTCTGTGGAGTTATAGCGCATTCACTCATGTCATGAGAATATAAGATTGTGAAAGAGAAGAGGAGTCAAGGTAGTCAGATATCAGAAGAAATCCAGTAGGGTTATATAATTCCAAGAATACACTCTCACATATACATTGGGAGTTTATGATTCAGGAATCACAGCATCTGTGAACCTGTCAGGGTATGTACAAAGAACATTATGTGATATTATTACAGCCCTGTATTTTCTCTGTTGCCATCTCATGCCACCAAAGGATTTCCATTCCCCCAAATCATGACTTTGTTTTGTGTGTGTGCACAGGTGTAGTGCTATTGCTTTACCTTTTACAGCAAAGGGTTCTAGAATAGGAATAGATAATGCCTAATGATGCTATCTATTCCCAAACTTTCTGTTCATCCCTTGTACTGCCTCCACATGTACCTTTCCTGCACAGGTTGCATTTTATGTTTATATAATTGGACAGAATCATGCACTAGTACTTTTGTACATAACTTTGAAAATAAAAACAGGGAAAGGGCTTTTAATACAGTAAATATACACAGCAGGTTTACCAACATTGTGCTAATATGCTTTCATGGTACATTTAAGATACAGTGTGTTTACAGGAATAAAGTATTTGATATACTGCAATTATAATTCTATATTATATATAATTAAAAATAATATAAGTTGATTGCAGAAGATTGTCAAAATGTCAGAGCACAATGGATACTAATGTGGAAAAATAAGAGGTTCCCTTCTATCACCCAAACCAGCTGAAGGGTTAATATAGATGAGGTATTATATATCCTGCTTCCTTTCCTTTATTTGGAAAGCTCTAGTGGATAAAGACAGAATATATTGACTATTCCTACAACTAAATACATGGATTCTATTTATTAAAAATACATAAACCCAGTTTTTAAGTTCATAATGTAAGTGTGGTTTGGTTTCTCAACTGAAAGACTAGGAATACAAATTGTAAAATAAAACAAATGCAAGCCAGCGTCCTTCCCCCTCGCCCCAGCAAAGAAAAAAAAAAGTAATAGTAGAACATACAATTTAAAAATCATAGAAAGACTCCAAGAAATGATTTTAAAAAGTAAGCCAGGGGTCCATTTGTTCAAGGTTTCAGGCCTTGGCCACAAAGCACATACCTGTATCAGGCCGACCATTCCCTGAAGAAACACGAAACCCAAAGTTGCCTTGTGGGGAGCGCTCCAATTCTAATTGGCTAGTTCCATCGGGAAAAATCGCTATCACCCGCCCAACAGTTCTCACCAAGTTGGGGGATCCAATGTCCTCTACGCTAAGGGATCTTCTATGCTGTGTCCTTGTTTTCCTATGAATGGGGAAAATATTCTGTCATACTCAGAAAGGCGTATAATCTGAAGTCAAAGAACAGGGGGCTATTGTATCACTGATCATCTAATTTAACTGCTTTATCACATCTTGGTTTTTAATGAAAGCAGATTTCCAGCTCACATGATGATGGGAAAGGCATTGAAGGGAAGGTGACCCTACAGCACAAGTAATTGGGGTTCTTGGGAAATAAGCCTTGCAGACCAAGCCTAGACATGCCCCATATGTACAAGGAGGCTTTCTACAAAGTAAATATGCTTACAGCATTATTCATTAGCATCTTTTCAGTCTCTGCAAATTTACTTTTTGCTATTCTGTGTTTAAAATTTTTTACCACATCATTCCCCTACTTCAGGGCATTTTTTAAAAAAAATTGTTTAAAGTCAATTCTAGAAGCATCTGATTATAAAAAGCAAAATATGTATGTTGTTCCATCAGCTGGCATTCTGCTAGGGATCTCTGAGATTCCATCCTCTGGAATTCCCTGTATAAAATTATTTGAGCTGCATATCCAGGAATAGCAAGCAGATCACCTGCAGACAGAGGCGAGTTGCTGCCTTCAGTGTCTCAAAAGAAATAAGTGATTACCCCCCACCCAACACATAAAAAAAAGCATTTAGGATGTAATCACAAATAGTCACCTAAAACATCCCAATTCTCACCTGTTAGGAAAAGCTTCCTCATCCTTTGGTTCCCCCACCAGGTAGACATTGGACCGATTGTTCCTGCCCAAAAAGGAATGCAGATTTTGAACAGAAGAGGCTTTTCTTGGTTGGTAGAAAGGCGACACCTAGTGGGAGAAAATACTGCAAATCAGAACAAGTACTGAAGAATCAAATTGCAGGTATGTTGGGCAAAGAGGAATGAAGTTTCCTGACTGTAAACCTTGAATTATCTTGATCCTTCTGGAAACCAGAAGAAGTAAAAATAAAAAAAGGGGGGAGGAGGCTACTGGATTTGCCTTCATTAACGTAACAGATTAAACATGTTTCACAGATCTAAATTCTAGTGCTTCAAGAGTATTGTATTGTCACAACATAATCACGTAATGAAATATTAGGTACATGCATTTATGAAACTTTTACTTTGGGCAAATAATAAATATTTAGCAGGGACCAATAACTCAAAGTGGGTTTTCAAATGACAGTGCCACTCGAATATCCCATTTATCAGTCACCCAGATGACATCAATGTCATCCAGGAGACAACCATGAATTTGTTTGTTCTTCTCTTCTCACTTGCCTACTGAAAAAAAATAATTTTTTCCTTGGAAACTCTGCATATTACTACTATTGTTTCGACATATAAAACTTCAGCAGCACTTTTGTAGTCCTTAGAGACGGTCTGATTAGAACATTTTCTTAAAGGAGCAGTTTCTTACTGTGTCTTATATCATTGATGGACAGCTAGGCTTGGATACTGGCATGAGCTGGTTTTCTCTGATGTTCCTTTGATTCAATGGAAAAAAAAAATAACTGAGTCCCTGTATTTGAGATTTGAGAAGCAGGAACTGCAGAAAAGTATAGAATCAATATAAGGAATGTCTGAATCAATGGCTAGGACAGTTGGGCTTCATCACTGCCTCAAGGAACTGGGAGCATTACAAATTAAGATGGTCTAAGATGGATTTCAATGGTGTCATATTGTAAAAAATGAATATGGTCTCCAGATGCATACTTGGCTTACAGGTGGACCTTGGGTCTGAAAATGTTGAAACATTCATGATGCTATGTAATGCAAAATGTAGTGAATAACAATATTTTATTGATATGTCATTACTACAAGACTCATATTTCCCTGGAAAATAGTTTTAAAACTGTACCACAAAAACTAAGGTAGATTACTGCTGCCTTCTCATAAGATCTAATAAAAACACAGTTTCAACTCACCATCTGTAAGGACTGTAGGGAAGGTACTTTCTTCATTTTTGGAGAACAGGTGGTATCTGGACCAGGTTCCATGTTGGGAATTGCAGCTCCTGATTCTGGCATAGAAAGCTGTTCCATGCTATAACATCGGAATCTGCCCAATCTTTGTTTGGTGCTCTGACTCAGAGTGGTGAAGAATTTTTTTAATCCTGATGTAGAAGAGACTTCTACTTTCTTGGTGGATTGCTGCTTCTTTGGGTAGACTTCTAAGTGTTTGCTGGAAGGCAAAACAAGCCAACCAAGAGAATTACAAACCAAGAGTACCTTCAACTTTATTTACAATTTTCAGTGCTCAAATGAGGATAATGAGACCCAGTTTGGTGTAGTGGTTAAGGCATTTCTTTTTTGATGTGATACTATTCTGGGTTTTCAAGAGTTAGTAGAAAATGTTGGGAGCTGGCTAGCAAAATTACAATCCTTTTGATGGTGTGCATAGGGATAACTCCCCCTCTATATACATTTCTCAGATTTATAAATCAATTCTTACAGAAGGTTTCCAAAAGCAATACTGTCCCCTAGGGCAATAGTTTATTCTCCTTGCCTTCCATAAGAGCAAATGGTAGATATTTATCCTGCAGAATGAAAAGGGATGCACTTAGAGTCATCACTGGTGTAAGAGATGCTACTGAGAACCAAACTTCACCCTTTCATTTGCTCTTTCTTTATTAAAAAATACCAATTGTTCAGCCAAATCCCACAAACACTGGCTAGAAATAAGCCCCATTGTATTCAATTATGTTTTTTCATGATAAAGAAATATGGAATGTTGTCCTCTTTGTGTACAAAATAACTTCTGCCAGGCACAAAGCCAGCTGGGTAACTTTGAGCCAGTCCCTCTCTCTCAGCCCTTGGAAGCAGGACACGGCAAACCACTTCTGAAATCTTGCCAAGAAAACTGCAGGGACTTGTCCAGACAGTTGCCAAGAGTCAACTCTGACTTGAAGGCAGACACACACACATAGATTCTGAAACCAAAGAAAGTTTTCAAAGTCAAGGACTTTCCTTACTTTTCTCTTCTGCCCCTTCCAAATGCATATATTGCATGCTCCCCACCCCACCCCACCCCAGAAAATGTATTCTGAGAATCATCCTGGCTTGAGAGTTTCTGTTGCTTTTCAGTAAAACTACCAGGCTTGTGCTGGCTTAATTTGTTTCTGGCAATGCCAGACAGAATTTCATTAGATCAAATTATTTTATTATCAGGTTAAATAGTAGAATCCAAACTAAGCACACAGTTGATGCTGCTAAACAATGTAACTACTTGAGCTATCAAAATGGACTTGGGTATATTGAAGAAACCAGTAGTATGCCATTTTAGATATAATTCCTGGATTAGAAATAAGAGGCTTAATTTCTGTGGATTGAGCTATCTAGCCATAAGAAGAACTTTCAGCTTTGGACAGGAAGGGAGAAGTAGGTCAAAGCAGATTTCAGAGTGGAGAGGGAGGGGGAAACAGCAGGGAAGGCAACAGGGCTCAAAGCCTACTGGCAGCACCAACAAGGCAATATTTGCCTGCTGTGAGAGTGAAAAGCCAAGCCTGAAAAGCAGAAGGCACCTGTGGGGAGAAGCGCAGCAGACCTAAGCAGAGGAAAGATTGTAGCACAGAGAGGCAGAAAGCAGACATGCGGGAAGCATTTGCTACTAACAAACTGAAAGAGCTCCTCGGTCTGTACTGCTGCATCCCCTGGGAAGGAAACCAGCACAACGAATTACTGGAAAGAACCAGGGAGTCTTATCAACATAGGAAGTTGGTGTTCCCTCTTAGCAACTACATAGACAGACCTTCTCCAGGATGATGCGCTCCCAGCCTGGCCCTTCAATGATGCACCCATCGCCTTGTAATCAACTCCATCCACCTTGCTGCTGGTCACTCTAACTTTTCTCAGCACTATAGATTTTGTAAGAGAACTAGGCCTTTGCATAATGTGTCCAAAATATGATAATTTGACTTTGGTCATTTAATGTATGTATGTATGTATGTATTTAATATTTATTTATTGAACTTTATTTACTGGAAATAAATAGATCAAAAAAGTTCATTTCCATGGAGCATCGAAAGAAAAACCATTGCCCTGCATGATTCGGATCTTTTTGGGTATAAACACATCTCAGCATCTCAATACCTTTTCCAAGACCTTTATTGGTATTCCACCAAGTGCTAGTGCATGTATCATGACTGCTGATTCCTTTACTGTTGATAATGTTGATCCTAAAAGGCAGAAGCCACCTACCACTTCAGTATCTTCATTGTAAGTTCTAGGGCTGGTTGCTGTTGCTGTTCTCATTAGTATGGTTTTCTTTATATTTAATCTTTAATTTCTTTAATATCTTAGCCTCATTTGTTCACTATGTGAAAAATTTCCTCAATATATATTCAGCATATAGATTGAATCAATAAGGAGACAGTATATTGCCTGTCTCATTCCTCTGCCAGCTGGAGCCAGCCTGTTTTGCCATGTTCCATCAAAACTATGTGGCTTTCTGTCCTGTGTTTAGGTTTTGCATGAGGATAATGAGATGTTCTGGGATTCCCATTTTCCCAAGTACATTCCACAGCTTAACATAGTCAACACAATCAAAGACCTTTCTATAATCAATTAATATTTACTTCTTGGGTGTATTCTTTGTCTTTATCAATTATTCAGCATGTATCAGCAATAATATCTCTTATTCTTCAGCCTTTTCTAAAACCAGCTTAAATATCTGTCATCTTTCTTTCCATGCAGGACTCTAATCTGTGTTGGATGATTCTAACCATTCTTTTGCTAGCATATGAAATTAATGATAGTTTGCTCACTCTGTTAAATCTCCTTTCTTTGGTATTGAAATGTAGATTGACCTCTTTTAATATGTTGGCCATCATGCCATTCTCCATTGCTGGCAATGTTTGGTTAGAGATTTTACTGATTTTTCTTCTGTTACTTGCCATATTTCTGTAGGTATTCCATTAATTTCTGTAGCTTTCTGAATTGGTAATGACTGAAGTGCTATCTAGTGTTCTCTTCTAGTATCAGAGGTTCTTGTAAATAGAGAATAATTCCTCAGGTATCTTGGATGTTGAGATTTCTACTGTATAGAATTTCGGTATGGTCCTTCCATCTTTGATCTTTTTTGAATCAATTGCTATTTATTTATTTGTCCATTGACTTCCTTTAGCATACCAGTTTGAGGTCAGAGCCTTCTTATGAAATCAGAGATCTTTTGGAAGACTTTGTTTTTCTGTGTCTGTTTCCACTTTTGATGTCTTTACAGATGTCATTATAATACTGCTTTTGTCTCTTCTAACAATTCTCTAAAATTCTTTGTTAAATTCCTTCCTGAGACTTTTGTCTTCTCTTCTCTTCTTGGCAATTTCCACTGTTTGTTTTGATGTCAAGTTTGCTTTCTTCTGTTTCTTGGTCTTTGGCAGCCTGTTTTCACATTCATCCTTAACAGTTTCAAGTTAATTTCACAGTAACTCTGGTTCGTAATCAATGAAGTTCAGGACTTCAAAGCAATTCCTGATGTGCTCCTTGAAAGTAGTAGGTATAAGTTCAACATTATATTGTGGAATCCATTTGGCTTTGCTGTTCCACTATAGCTTGACTTGGAATTTTCACATGAGCAGTTCACATTCAGCCCCTGTAACTGAGCTGTTTCACCTTGTTGTACCAATAATATGGTCAATTTTATTACTGTATACTCTATCTTGTAATGTCCTTGTCCATAGGCATCATTTTGGTTGTTTAAAGACTTTGGTTGTTCAGAAGAAATAATTGGATTGGAAGAAACTGACAAGTCATTCTCCTGCTTCTTTTCCATTTCCTTGGCCATACAGTGTAACTACATTTTCCTCCTTACTATTTCCAACTTTGACATTCTAGTCTCCAACCACAAGCAATATACCTTGCTTGCATATTCTGTTGATTTCAGATTAAACTTTTCCTGCATGACAATATCAGCACCTAGATGCCCCAAAACCTTTAATCTGACTGCATCGTAAACTCCATTAATACTCTAAAAGATCCTCAGCTCTTCCTGAGTAGCAACCTAAGGAGCCACCATCTGGCACTATATTATCAGTCACTTTATATTGTCTATCCATGTGGTTTTCTTGATAAAATACAGGAGTGGTTTACCATTGCCTTATCCTGTGCAGTGTGAAACAATACCTTTGTCATTGACACTAAAATGGTCATCTGCCTTCAGCATCTTCCTATATTGCTGCTACCCAAAACAGGTACCTGTTTGCTTTAACTGGGCAGCTGGAATAGCTTAAAAGCCTTGGGTGATCCTGCTGGGGGTAATTAACTCTTGGCATACAGTCCCAGCATTTTTTATTCATCCCTCCTAGGAACACCTCCCACAACATGAAGTAGCATAGCAGGACTTGAGGGAGGTTCAACCAATCTACTCTACAAATTAACTGAAAGTGTCCAGACTTCCTTTTGAATGCAAATATGTGTCCTCCACAGAAAATATATCCTTCACAAATAATGCTCAGATGCTGTGTGGTCTTGGAGAAGTACCTCATATCCTAAACCTACTTTGCAGAATTGTTCCAAGGATAAAAAGTGGGAAAACACAAATTAAAAAGCATTTGGCTGAGCTTGCTAGCCACACCAAATATTAGAATCACTCCCCTCCTGGCAACCTTTTCCATTTCCAACAAGCCACTTGCTACTCTGTAGGCCTTTCCTTTATAAAAAGAAGGGGACAAATTGTGAGGGTGGGATAAGGTAGGGAGCTGGGGGGTGAACATATATTAACTGGCTGATCTTTATTTTCTTTGGGATATGCCATTACAAACAGAGAACTCAGGAACAAAGCAAAAAAAAAATTTGATTAAATTGTGTCTTGGTCATCAGAAACTTCAGCTTTGGCTAACCTTCATCAGAAGGGAAGATTAAGGGGCAGTAACAACTCCCTCATTTGCCAGGCTGGTGGGGGATTATGGAAGATGAAGTTCAGCTGATCTAGAGGACACCAAGTTAGGGAAGGCTGATGGACAGAATCTCTCAGTAGCAGATCATTTGGTCATGCTGGCTGGGAAGTTCCAACATATAAAAATGGATTAATTTGGAAAAGACTTGTTTTATTTTTAGAAAAATGGCATTTGATCTTACAAACAGCCCTGTTCTATGAGAACCCCGCTTAATCTTCCTGACAGCATGATATATTTTTACTCACCGTTGAATAATATTTGCTTGCCCGGGTTTTATCTTCTGCGTCTCTGCTACTGGAGCTTCTCTAATGATTGACTTAGTGGAGATTGTGAAGTTGGTCTCTTCAGTTGTCAAGGAGAGATTAATAGCAGTGGAACTGATGACATTGGGAGCAACAGGGGGAACACCACACGTTGAGGATGATGGACCTACTGCAATGATACAGATACTTCCAATTGCTGTTCTTAGAACACCTTTGGGGTGGACTTCCACCTTCGGCTAGTATGACAGGACATAACAAGTAATTGCAGCTTAGCACATAAAATAATTTCTGGTATACATCCTTTTATCAAAGAAAATGTTCTTAACACATATCAGATGCCAAGATCCAAACTGGAAAATCTAAGGAGAGATCTTACATTGACACATACCTCCTTCCCCCAACACAAAATAATGGTAAGAAATGGTAGTTCTTTGAAGATACTGAGAATTTCATTAGACCCTTCTGAACTCTCCACATTCTCTACAAACGTAGTAATAATTCATCCAATTTGACAAAAATATAGGCATATCATTAAATTGTTACAAAACATTCTGGCTTTTTCATTTCCAGAATATTCCAGAAACAGGCTTAAAATGGACTTGTTATATAGAAAGCCAGAAAAAAGTAAAAGAAGTCATTTTATTACGTCTTACTCTCAAATTTCACCTACAGCTTCCATATCAAGATTTTTCTAAGACTTGGTGCTAGTTTTCACATATGAAAATAGTAACTTTAGAGCAGCACTCTGTAGAAATATGCATAACTAGGGTGTTAATGTAGTTTAGCAACTATTGTGTTTATGAAAACTATGTAAATTACATAACCAGCAGTATCATAACAACAAATCTCTGACAGCTGACACCAAGCACTCTCTTCAGTGGAATGGAGGAGTATAATTAGAGCTACAGAAAAATTACTTGCAAAAAAAAAAAGCCCATTAAAATTTTTTCAGCTGAAGTTTGTTTTTAAAATTCTCTGAAAAAGTTGGGAAATATGCAAGCTCATCCTGATTCAAGATTGTAGAGGGAGGGTTGCATAAATGCAAGGAAATTTATTATTGAAGCCAATTGGTCAATCAATTAATTTTACAATTTGGCAAAGGTAAAAGATTTGTACAGAAAATATTAGCATAGAAAATCTTGTTGATTTCTGGAAAATGAGATTCTGTTTAGCACCTATTTAGTATAAGGAGGAGAACAGAGGCAAGTCCCATTGTCATTTGTTTGGCCTCATGCAGTGTACTGGGGGCTGGTATTCTGCAGCAAGAAACCCTTTCTCTTGATTAGGCCAATGATCTGGTTTAGAGTTCTGATCATCCAATTTTGAAATTATGTGGAGTTCCTACAAACTCAAGGAGAAAAGGTTTTGCTCTGGAAAATTTCAGCCTCCAGCAAATGGAATTATCAGAGATAGCAGGATGATAACTGAATGTAGGTGAGGGAAGGAAATACTTGAATATTGCTATTACTTTTCATTTTAAGGAAGACATAACTCTGGTTGAATCATTGTATAACTGCAATTTGGGGTTGCTGTTTTTTTGAGATAGATAGATAGATAGATAGATAGATAGATAGATAGATAGACAGACAGACAGACAGACAGACAGACAGACAGAC